TTTCCACGTACAACATAATGCAGCTATACTGGCTAAGCAATGTCAACAAATTTCAAGGTAAAGGGGAGGGATGAGCGCAAGGTTTGTAGGTGTAACTCATTTAAAGCACTGTTATTTTCCAACAGATTCTTACATCTCCCTCTCCCTGCATATTAGAAGCGTCACTTCTTTATTCAAAATAATACTGGTTGTAAATCCCCCCCTGCACTCAACCGATCTCACTAACAATCTGTCAGTTGAAAGCAAACCAGAAGTCCATGTTGCAGGGGGCTTCATGAACCGTGTCATTAAGAATAATGTTGGGAGTATACCGGGTACATTCAATGTATTAATTACTGAAAAATAGTATGATTTGCTTTCATTTATGAATTGAACATTTGGAACTGGGCAATGCTCTTTCTTTCTGGCATTGAAGGAGCGAATGGCAGGATTTCAAAGTTCAGATTGGTCTTTCACTAGAAAGGAGACTGTTCACATATCACACTCACAAAATGACAGCCCCTCGAAGCATCTCAAAATAAATATCTGTGCAGCGCAGCCCGCAACATTTGTCCATTCCCGACATAGGGAATTCTTATAGATGATTAAATTCTTCACGGTGTGTGTGGTATGTACAGAAGGCTGTGGAATTTAATTCAGACCATACAAATCCAGTCTTGGTACATTTCCCATGTGAATAAATGCTCCACAGTACAACATAAAACAAAAATATCAACCATATAATAGACTATCTATAACGAATGTGAGCTACATCATATAGAAACTATACTGAAACAATAGTGATCGGTTAATTCACAAGCTTTTAAACACTCCTTTATCATAGACCATAGAGTTACTTTCCTTCACTGAATTATTAAATTGATGAATAATGTATAGGGAACAAACACTTCTTAGGTGGTCCTTAACAAGCAAAAACAAACCTGTTGACAACTATTTTAACTGATTATTTTTTCTTGAGTAAAGATAGCAAGAAAATATGATCCTTTTCTCAGAAAAGATATGAATGGAACTCTTAACCCCATATTATCTTGTATTGCCTGAGAGAAATAAACCTCAGAGAACTGGTCTTATCATAAATTCTATTTCATTTGTTATAATAAAATTAAAATGCAGTTAAAACTAGATGTTGATAGCAAAATGAGATTAACGCCATTAAATGAAAATAAATATAAATTGAACACAGATTTGATGCTCCTTTAAACAAGTTAAGCATTAGGCTTGTCTGGAAGCATACAAGAGTTTACGTTGCTGTGATTACATTTAACTTGGTTTGATATGCCATGAAGACTGTATTGAAATGTTTCCAGGCAAGGAAGATGTGATTTTCCCTGCAATGAGAGTTTGGTATCTGGCTCATCATAAAGCACTTTTGGGGAGAAATTCCACTGCAATCTCGACTTATTCTGTTCATGGATGATTTTAGATCGCCTAGAAATTTGGCAAATTGTTGAATTCAATCTTAACTTTGAAGTCTTCTTTTGTTGCTCTTAAAAGAGACTTACAGAAAACGGGCTTCAAATAACAACTATGTTTAAACATTTGTCAAATTCTGGACACTCAGAAATACTGTATGAATAGAGTAAATCTACACCAGGTGACATTTCTGCTCCTTTTTCTTTTGACTGTCTTACTTATCTTAAGATTGTGAAGTCTGCGGCTCAAAAGTAATTAATACCAAGCACAGAAAATATGTGTCATTTTCTTTGTGTTGCACTGGGAGCACATTCCTGTAGCACAAAGGTAAACGGGGTTTCCTTGGAGCTGAACTGGCTCCAAGGTGACATGTCTGGCAACGCAATATCGGAATCAAGCCAGCCCTCTATGGCAGTCTTGGTAGTCCAGCTCCTGAGCCAGGCCGGTCTGCAGTCCTTGGCAGGGCAGACCACTCACTAGGAGCATGGATTCTTCCACTCAGCTCTCGCTAAGCCTGCAAGCCAAATTTCTAACAGATAAGGTGATCCCAGCTGGACAATCAGTAGGAAAGCTTGCCAGACAGCACTATCAATGGCAAGCAATGTGGTTTTAGCTGGTTAGACTTGAGCAGTACTATAATGCACAATCTGGGATCCAGAAGCCTTTGTTTCTACCAACTACGCCTAATACTTTCCGGAATTAGGTAATTAGGATGCCTCCCTCTAGGGTGAGAGTGCACTTTCCATTCCAATAAACATCTCTGGAATTTCCATGCGTAGGGGATGCATAGAATTCTCAGTTTGGTTTGGATACTCTTAAGCATGGTGATGGGTTATTGCATGTGTCAATGACCCCCAAAAAATCCTGTAGCACCTTAAGGGTTACAGACATCTCCATATCAGAACCAGGCAGACAAAGTGCATGTCAATGAAAAAACAACTACCACTTCCTCTATAGAGTAGTGGCGGTTTGTCAGATCTCAAATTTTGCCACAATCTCAGATACCAATAATAGCCAGTTACTCTTTTTCTCACAGAAATCTGATGTCTGACATTGTATAGCTTTGGTACCCCAAATCATACTTGTATAAATTCAATTGAAATCCAGTAAACGCTTGTCTGGTTTTAAAGTGCTCTAAAAGCATTGCAGTATCTCCAAAATAGTGTTTGTATTGACACTTTTCATAAAGGAGGACATGAAAACCTTCAACTTTGTTTCTCTTTTCATCTCTGTAGGGGACATGTGCATCCCTTGGTTGAGAGGAAAGAGGTAATTACGTACTTCCTGCCCTCTGCTACTCCCTGACTGCTCGGAGGTAAGGTGTCAGGTTTGACTCAGTTGGTAGCATTCTCGCTTCTAAATCAGAAGGTTGTGGGTTCAAGCCCCACATCGGGACTTTGAATTCATGTGATCTAGGCTGACATCTTAACACAGTGTTGGGGCTGTGCTGCATTGTTGGAGGTGGGTCCTTCAGGTTAGACTTTGAACAAAGTCTTGTCTGCATGTCCAGGTGAAAGTTAAGGATGCCATGGCACTATTTTAAAGAGAAGGCACTTATTCCAGTATACTGGCCAACAATCTGCTGTATAAAATTGATCATTTACTTTATGGCTGTTTTGGGATATTGCTTTGTACAAACTGGCTGCTGTATTTATCTACAAATACACATTCACTACATTTTACAACAATTCTTGTGAGGCGCTTTGAGATGTCCTCCTGACATGAAAGGTGCTCTGTCAAACTGTGATGCCTGTCAATATGCCCTCTCCTTTCCCAGCAGAGAGACATGTAAAAGTTTCGGTCTCATTTCTCTTAAAAGTCTCAGATTGGAAAACAAAAAACTGTCTCACCAATCTGTTTCACTCCATGGGCCTGAAATCTCATCGAGATTGATTTCTCTTAAAAATTTAAGTTGGAGCAGTATCGTGTAAAATTCTTAAATTCAATCGTAATTTGGAAATTTATTGTGTTCTGGTTCCCAATACTGAAAGTTGCTGTAGGAGGAAGGCCAGCCAGGCTCTCCTGTGAACTGTCTCAAACACAGGCACACACAGCCCACTTCCTGCTGTTTGGCAGCTCACAGGATCACCTGTTGCTTTTGGCTTCCCGCCAGCCTGGGGCCTAACGGAAATGACAGAATCAGCTAGAAATTAGATGGTTCTGTTATTCCAAGTACCCAAATGAGAAAAATAGCAAAACAAACGACTGCTGCACAACCAGGTTTAGTAGGCCAAAATGTAAAACAGGCTATACAGAGAAAGTTAACAGCTACATTTTTTTTTGAAGTAAACAATACAGCTGTTACCCCATTCTGCTCAATTGTACCAAACAGTGAGTCACCAAAGACCTTTTAGAAACTAAGCAGTTCAAATAAACATTCATTTGAAAACTGTCAGCATCTTTCATCTTTATTTCTTTCCTTTAAATAGTGTAAAATGATATCCCCAGATCAGTTCTTAGAAATCTGGAGTTACTCATTTTTATAAATTTATGTAAAATCTTTTGTGTATTGGACATTCCATTAATAGACTGATGACCTAATTGTAATCACATGTTTAGTGCTTTGCTTTAAGTTCTTTTTGTCACTGGCTGTAAACACCTCTGAAATCACTGTGGACTTGGTTGTAGTTCCAGACCCCAATTAAGTTATTCATTTAATATTCTTCTTCTTAATATCAACAAATTGTTTTAGTGAGAGGAATAAACTAACATTAGGATTCAAGCACGAAAATAATAATCAGAAACGTGTGTTAGGAACAGTTTACAGGTGTAAAATTTCTTCTGGATCTAGATTTTCTTATCTAGCATTTCAGAGTATAGAATAGGCAAATTCTCATTTCAGAGTATAGAATTTGGCACATTCAGAATTATTTAAAGGGACTCATTAATATGTATTTAGTGATGCAAACTGCATTTCATAGCCTTGAATAAAATGGGCAAACCATTGAGATGAGGCAGTGCAAGGCATGGCACACAAAACACACTAAAAGAGAATAAAATCCAGCCTCAATGCTAAAATCTTTCATTGTTTTGAAAGTCTCCAATAAATCAGCTTTCTCTAGCAAACTGTTGTAAATTCATTAGCTGCTATCATTTAACTTTCTTGACTCCTTAATGGAATCAAACTGCTCATCGTGCTATTTATCACCAAATGTTATCAAAGGTTGCCTGGACCCTTATTTTAACCTTATAGCACTGTACCATCCAGTTTTATTTATAGTCTATTACATGCGTTTTAATTCAGAGGTACCAGACCATATCTTGGGTCAATTACCCTGTAGCATTCAATCATTCTCAGCTGTCACAAGGTAAATTTCAGTAATCATGCATTCAATAGGGACTACAAATGGGACATATCTGACGCAGACCAACTTGACATTAAAATTATTTTAATCTACTTGTTCAGGAAGATACAATGGTATTTAACTTATTTGCTGAATAGGAACACTTAGGAAATGCACTATTCTACAAGCTCTTTGTAGTCTATTGCATTTTAAAAGCCATGAACATTTTACCAATACCACAAGTTAAAAGTTAAAAGGATAAGTGTTATCAATTTTTCCTGGTTTAGAATTCAGAACACTTACATTCTGATATTGTTGAAGGGTGATTGCAGTAACTGCAGGCTGGGTTTGTGTTTAAGCCTCCCTTGACTGTGAAGAGACATTGATACATAACACACAGCATTAGAGAGCAAAACCAGAAACAAGTCACTAAACTGATATGGATTAGACAAGTTCTTCCTGTCCCTTCTTTCCCAACTCACCATCAGATTAGTGAGGATGAAACATGGACCCTCCCATCCAGTTGGACTGCGTAGGGTTGGTCTGACATTATAATAATAATAATAATAATCCTTGCATTTGATATAGTGCTTTTTACGTCGGGAGGACGTCCCAAAGCGCTTCACAGAACATACTGTAAAGTGAATTGACTGTATATTTGTGGGCGAACGCGGCAGCCAATTGCGCACAGCAATGTCCCACAAACAGTCGTAGATTGAAAATGACCAATTTATTATTGTTTTTGATTTTGGAGGGATTATTAGAACAAAACCGGCAGCTCCTCTGCAAACCAGATTAAAAACGAAACAGGAGACGGTGAGGCGTGACATTGGGCCATAGTAATCAGGAAATCAGATTTACTGATCTTCACAATCCTGTCTCTATCCATTATAAAATGAGAGCGAATTTTCATAAATTTTAATATTCGTGAAACCATAACCTTCATAATGTAAGCACACCTCTGGGACTTCAAAGGATCATGGGCACAATCACTATGATCACTGGGAATTGCATGCAAAGCTATTCATCTCGTATCAATGGATACTTTATAGTGGGTTATGAGGATTGTCACCCATCCTGAACGTAAATGGATGTCTATAAATTGCACGTCCTTCACGAGAATGATAAAGAGACGATACCTTATGCCAGGTCACCATGTCAGAGGAAGAAAACCTCCCAAACCGTCCTAATTATTATGGCTTGAGGGGTAATTTATATTTTTGGCAGAACATTTACTTCACATAAGTGAAGAGAATATCTGGGGGATGGGGGAGCAGAACTAATATTTTACATACAGTTTCCTATATACATAAAAGTAAGTTAATAACTTTTTGCATTATGCTTTTGGAGAGAGCCATTTCACATTTCAATCCCTCCACAGTCTTGACCCGACCCTACCTCTGCGATCCCTTCAAACCACGCCAACTCAGCCGCTCACTTCGCTCAGTGGACGCAGATCTGCTTCATGTTCCCTGCCTTACCCACCTGATCATCAATCGTCAGACATCCAGCTTATCTGTCCCACTTTCTGGAACTCCATCCTGAAATCCCTCTGACTTCCTCCCTCCCTTGCCTCAAACAAGGTAAATATTCAGTACAAATACCAGAATAAATAGACATATCTCATAGGTATGCATGATTCGTACGTATGCTTTTTAAATTTATGGACTTAGAAACTTGGTCTCTGTTTAATATCACCCCATTCATCACATACTTGAACTTTCTTTAACGTACATTGAAATTACACTAGTTTTATTAGAGCCCAATGATTGTGTTGAGAACATATTCTGCTTTTGATGATTGCACCAGACATTTTGTATTAAAGGACCACTTGCTTCATAAAAATATTTCTAGATCGTTTTGGTTACAAGCTCACAATTCAGTGGCATGGAAAATGAAGTCCAGTACAGTAAAACTCTCTTAAGTCTGATCTGTATAAATCATATAATCGCCTAAGTCATACATCTGACCAAGTTGAATCGAATTTCCTATTATTGTATTTGATCTCACTTAACTCATACTTTACACAAGACATATTAAAGATATGGTCACAACTGATATGACTCATGTGAGGTTTACTGTATTTACGTCTAGGGTAATACTGTAGTGACTTTTCATTTGTGACTGAAACTGTAGGATTCGCTATTGAAATTCACTAAAACAAGGTTGGATAGGAAATTTGCCTGCCTTGTCCACCCCACCATTTGTGGAAATTATATTTGTATAACGCCTTTCACGTCAGGAGGATGTCCCAAGGCGCTGGACAGTCAGGGATTTGGAAACAAGCAGGGGTTTGGGTTCAAGAGGGGAGGAGAGCAGGGAGTGTAGAGGTAGGAGGATGGCCAAAGGCTCGGTCAAAGAGAGGATCTTGAGACGTGCCTTGATGTAGGCAAGGGAGGGAGCAAAGCGAAGGGAATGTGGGATGGAGTTCCAAAGGGTGGGGGCAGAGAGGCTGAATGCCGGTCCGCCGAAGGTAGGGCTGGCTGGGCATGGAGTATTGAGCTCTTTCCTGTGTGTCACAAACAAACCCATTAATAACAATCTTGGGACACTCCTTTTTTTTGTATAAATGCTTAACACTTTAGTTTCCTTAATGGTCTGCCACATTAATAGTGAAACGCCCATTTACAGAGACCGTTTACAGAAGGTGGAACATTTGTGTACACTGTAAAGTGAAATGAAGAGTTGTACTTACTCTTGTACAGCCCTGGCTATAGAGAGCGCTGTGGAACCAGTTTCATTAACGCTGTCCAAGGTCACATTTGGCAGGTCATCATCTTCACTATCACTTTTGATATGCCTGGGCGACAGGGTTCTGGAGTCTAGTTGTGCTGCAGATACAATTATCAATTGAAAATGATCATAGCTGTGACATCAAGTATACTAATTTGTCCTTCTAAATAAATAAGAGTTTGAATTGATCATTGTGCTGAAATTACTACAGTACAACCATCTTAACACCACAACCTACTTAGGAGTGTAATTTATAATTTGAAAAATCCTGGTTCAGTGAGTAATACATTAGTTAGCTCTGCATTTAAACTTTGATGTATAAGACATAGCTTTACTTTTTGATCTGAAACATTGTTCAACATGCAGGAAACCCCTATGGTGAGCTACGCTGCTGGCATATATAAACTGGATTGCTCTTTTTGATTCAATTTGATTCAATTCTGAGACCTCCAGTAGATTTGTCAGACACAATCCAATGCTTCTAAACCTACCCCAGCACTGGCTTTTCTATTTTTTCATTGTATATTGTTATCGTCTGATAAAATGATCTTGAACATTTGACATACTGTTCAGATATTAGACTAACTTCTGGTCTATAAATCTAGAGATAATTAATTCATGCCTAATTCCTTTCATGATTATCAGAATATTCACTGCACTTCAGTCCTCAGATATAACCTCTGTGGTTCACAATTTTGATGGGAGCTACATCTATTTCCCCTTTCATTTCTGGAATGTATGCAACCCAGGTCCAGGTGCAGTGAACTGTGCATATTTATTTTCCTGATTTCTTTGTGATACAGGCTTTACAGTGGTCTACATATGTTATAGATTCCTTTGCTAAAATAACTAGATAAGGATTTATTTTCAGTCTTCATTTGCCAAAGAGCAATCCAAAGAATTAATTTAACACCAATTTTGTATCCTGATCTCCTTCATTAATATTCCTCCCTACTTATCTTATGTCTTTCACCTTCTTTCTAAGATATCTGTTTGACTTCCTCATACACCATCTACAATCTTCTTTTATATTCTTACTTCTCCCTATTTATCCTATAGTTCTACCAAATGAGACAATAGCCAAGTATGGGTCAGGTTTCATTTACTACCTATTCTATTAAAATGGTTCTATTTATTAGTGCATCAAGATTGCCAGATACAGGAACACTTGCAAAATCTGTAGAGATACGACAATTTGTTTGTAAAATGTAAAGTGCATTTGTCACCCTTATTTATAGGCAGTTGTCAGTTTGCCAGTCAAGCCTCCCTTGTGTGAGACCACATTCCAGCTCAGAAGGGGTTTGGAGACTCCTCCCTTTTTACACTGCTTGTGGTATCTGCTCACTATGACAACCACAGCCAGAATAGTTTTCTCCTTAGCTCAACAGCCTAACATGCTGAGGTTTCTTTGTGTTTCACTCCATGGTGAGTGTAATTTGAAAACAAAATTACTAATGAAAATTATTAAATACGAAGCCAGAAGGGCTCAATCACTTTTGTGTTACCATCTTTTCTTTTTTCAATCCAGGAACAAAAATATGAGACATAAAAACAGCCTTATGCTTCTTATTCTTTATTGTTTTCAGAACAGAAGTTTGATCAGGATATATACTAACAGATAGCTTGTTTTTCATTAACATTACCACTGCCTCTCTCCTTCCTCCAGTTTGTGAAACATTTTTACAGTATAAGAAAGGCAGTTTTGCAAACATGAGGTGGTGACTCAGAAAACAAAGAACTCTGTGTCTGAACACAAACGAGACAATAGAACAAGAGGACATAGGTTTAGAGCTGTAAAGGGCAATTTCAAGACAGATATCAGAAAGTTTTTCTTTACGCAGTGGATAATCAACGACTGGAACTAGCTAACAGGAAAGGTGGCAGAGGCCAGGACACGGCTCATTTAAAAATCAACTTGATGCTGAGATGGGATGGTAGGGTGGGTGTTCTGGAAGAATGAGATCAGTTGGGATGATCCAAGACCAAACTTGTGATTTTGTGAATCTATCCTTATATGTCTTTCAGGCCTTTGTCAAGGAAGACTGATGAACTGTCTTAAAGAGTGTACGATTATTTAGCCTCTATTGGGTAATTGCTAATACAAAAACATAGACATTTTCTGCACAGAAAGAATCAATCAAACCATATCTGTATTTGAACACTAAGCTTGGGGTTGTAGAAATTTATAGCCCTGAAGAAGATCATTTGGCCCATCATGCCCTTGCTTGTTCACTGAAATAGCTAGCAGTTTAGTCCCATGTTCCTATTTTGTCTCTGTACACTTACGTATTTTTTCTTGTAATTATCCAATTCTTTCTTAAAAGCTAACATAAATTCTGCCTGAACCATTGTTCAAGGCTTGACATTTCATATCCTAACAACCTACTGTGTAAAAACAATTCTCCTAACCTCTCCACAGAGACCAGAAGGTTCTGTACTCAAATAGCAGTGGATCCACTTTGAAAGGATACTTAAAATGGTGGTGGGAGTATGTGAGGGGGTGCTTCCTGGAGCTGAACTGACACTGGGGAGATGCACTTGGCACTGTTGATGCCTTTGCGCTTTGGGACGTCCTCCCAACGTGAAAGGCGCTCTATAAATGTAATTTTGTTGTTGTTGTTGTTGTTGATGGACCAGCCAATCTGAATTATCAAGGCAACTTTGAGGTATAAACATGTTCAAACCTGAGCCTCAATATGTCGGCTGTTCCTACCTGAACAAAAATGTGATACAAAATTGCACAAAAAAATAAGATTTCACCTAATTTTCTCAAAAAAAGCCAGAATTTCTTATTCTGTTTTCAGAGGGCTACACCTAGACAAGATAATATAAGAACAGGTGGAAGAAATAAAGCAAATTGTTTAGAGAAAGGTTATCATAGGCCATTCTATTTTTTGTTAGTACAGTAACTTACCCAGCTCCCCTTCAATTATAGTGCTGTGCCAGGAGTGGTTCCGTGGTATTATGCTGTGCGGCGGCAGGCTGAGTGGTCTTTTCACAATGCACCTCTGTGTGTCCACTAGAATCAAAAGGGAAGAACATTGTTACAGTATCCATCCATTATACAATCTTGATTGCATTTTATCAATTGTTAACAGAATATGAAGTACAACTCTCCCATCTTCAGAAGCCTGAAAAACATCAAATTAACAGGCTTCAATAATCTATTAATTTTAATCTAATGTGTTTCTTCCAGTTAGTATATTCACTGCAATAACATTAGTCAAAGGTAAACTGCTCTGTGAAATATTGCAATGTGCTTTGTAGTTGTTTTGAGCAGTTCCGTTTTTTCAAACAGGAAAAGCTACGTGCTCCGAGAACTCTCCGAGGTGCTATCTGTGTGAAGGGTGCTATATAATTACAGGTTGGTGTTTGTGAAGGGTTAAAGCCTATTACTGAGAATGAAGAGCAGAAGTGAGAATAAAATAGGTGATGGGGGTAGTCAGGTGATACCAAGACTTGGATTTTGAAAACCATTAAACTGTAGGAAGAAGGTAAGCGTGAAGGTGTAAGGAGTGCCCCTGTTTTGAGATCCTGGGAAAAAATGAGTTAGATGGTGCAATGGAGTTTGATTACAGCACAGTGAAGATAACAATTCTTGCATTTTTATGTACCGCCTCATCATGTTGTCGAAAGCTCTCATAGTGCTTCACAGGATTTACTGTAAAGTATAGTGACTATATGTTTGTAGCTGAATACGGGAGCCAATTTGTATAGAGCAATGTCTCACAAATAACCATGAAGTGACTGACCAATTTTATCTAGGGGATTATTGGCTGAGACAGCAGGAAACAACTTTAATATCCACCTTAACAAGCAGACAAGTCTAAGGTTTGTCAGAAGAATGACAACTCAAACAACGCAGTGCACCTCGGGCACTGTATTGAAGTGCCGGCCTAGACTACGAGTTTAAAAGCCCGATGTGGTGGCTTGATCTCGCAACCTTCTGACACAGAGACCAGGGTGCTACCAACTGAGCCAGGTTGACACCTGAATTAAAACCATCCCTTAATTCCTTTTGTTGGTTGAAAATGTAACACCAAATGTGACCAAATTATTATTTACTTATTTAGTTCTTTTTGAAGGGATTATTACCGCCTGAAAAGCGATCCGCCAATCGACTAACAACCGGGTTCCTACTTACTGCTAAGTAAACGGGCGTAAGGAGTAAGGAAACTTGCCCAACGTTTCGGCCTGCCCAGGCATCAAACCTGGGTCCTCTCACTTGCAAAGCGATTGCTCTAACCACTGAGCTACAGGACTCCACTCTGAGAAATACAGAGTAATTGGTTCATAGTTAAATCACACATAAGGATGAAAATGGTCATATTTCTTAACAGAATAAAATCAATGAATCTGTTATGAATAATCACACCAATCTTCTATATCAGTCAGAGAATGTTGCAACCAGTTGGACCCAAATGACAGCAAACACGAAGAGATAAAGATACAATGCTAGATGGTAGAAAAGAGGGTGAAATGAACAAGCTTTTGAGATAAACATAGTATAAATCCTGTTCTTGATTGTCACACATGTTTCAAGTTGGTTTACACAATGGAGAGGATGTGAAATTATCACCAGTGAAAATTATCACCTCATTCAAGAATGAGATCACAAATAGTCAATTATTTGTAGCCTCAGATGTGAATCCCCCTCTGACTCTCCATTGTGAAGGATGGTAAGAATGAGAATGCAGAGGAGATAGCTTTCATTTTGTGTTATCTCAGTAAAACAATACTGTCAGATCTGATACTGTATTGAAGTATTCAGTACGACTAACTACATCCACATCAGATGTATAATTCACAAGCTGGAATTAGTGCAACAAATCTGGTTCATGTATTTCATATTTTAGACACCATTTCCATTGAGATCCAAATACTCCGGAGTGAAACTAAACACAAAGGCTAAAATCATAAATGGAAATCCAAAGCTCTCCAAATCAAGAGCTATCCAAATCCACAAGGTAAAACCTTCCCTGAATGTCCTTAGCGATCTTTCTAACGTTGTTTCTATGATCCTGAACGAATTATTAAATCAATATTGGTGGATCGAATGAATTGTACTGTTTTTATTGTTATATGGATGAGCCCTGTCTCTCTCTCTATATATATATCTATATCATTATAAATTATGAATTATAAATTATGTATATTGGGTATGTGCCCTGTTTCTTCTGAATGAAATTCATCTCAAAGTTTGCAATAAGTGGTATTGGGGGAGCAGTAATGGGAGAAGGAAGTGGTTGAAGGAGGGCATTGGGTCACACATCCACTGAGAGTTCATGCTGCCAATGTTTCTGTGTGTATCTGAGCTGGAATAACCAAGGGGACATATCCCTTCAGATGATTCTGGTGTACACGTTTTTCACTTTAAACCGCATCAAGACAGTCTTTGAACTAGAATAAAACATGGTATGAGGCCCTTCCAGGGCTTTCCATCTACAGTTTCAGAAGTCAACCTCTACTGGGTACTGACTCCTTTACATCCCCTTTAGCGCTCATACAATTTTGTAATATATGGTGGTCCATTGGAGTTATGGACAATAAAAGTACAGTATTTTTNCATTTGTTTCAATCCTAACTCTCAAGAAACAACTCGCCACGTTTGTTATGCTAACGATGTAAGTTCCTGTTTATTCAGCTGGACAAGTAAAGCTATACTATGAACTGTGCTTTTGGAACACAGTCAATAGTTGAGGTGGTTTGACAAAGAGGTAATGTGTGCTTTAAACTGAGAACACTTCACAAACACAGCTTATCCGACTTTGGGGTTCACTTTATGTACGAGACCAATGACCCTCTCAAGCTACAAATGGCTTATATCTGAATCTGTAGAACAAATTCTGCTCCTTCAGTTCCTGCCAGTCAGTCATTTGTCTGCATTGCATGGTATTGTCTCCATCATCCATAAAGCAAGTTGAGATCATTTTAATTAACCAACCCACCCAGTTGCACTATTTTTCCACTCCATTTTCTATTCCAATTCTACCACTCCAATTACAGTAGTTACAAGCATTTCTCTCTTAAAGCAACACTGTGTGCCTATTATATTTGCGAAGCCTGTGTTTTTTTTATGGGAAGGAAAAAAGACAGAAGAAACGTATGCCATTTTCTTTGTGATTGTGGTGGTGTGTTTGGATACACTTTATGTTATTATTATTACAAATGAGAAAACCCCCCCAGACAATTCTTTGTAACAAAAGTGGTTCTTTAGGATCTTTCTCCACCTTTACTCAGTTCCAAGGATGAGAGAGATGGTGTCCACATACAGTTCCATCACCACTCTTTCAACACTGGCTCTCTGTGTTTGACAAAAGGTGTCTTTGTTGAAACAAGTGAATTTGGTTTCATTCTTAACGAAGAAAAGGCTTGCAACTCCAAATATAAAAATAATAATACGTACTTGATGTAGCGTCTTTCACAATAGGAGGATGTCTAAAAGTGTTTAATGCAAAACACTATAAAGTGTAGTGAAGTATATTTCATAAGCCACTGAGAAGAACAGTGGAAAGGCTGACATTCAGTTTTCAGATCACCCCAGGGTGGCAACCATAGCATGTGACATAAACATCTTAACAGTTACAGTAATAATAACGAGGCTACTACTATTACATTTAACAGTTTGATTCCTTATTTTACCGCATTCAAAAAGCTGTCAACAACCCAATGGTGAGTTTTCAAGGCAGGGTGGATTGGCAGTTCTCAAGATGTTGCAATAACTGTTTGAAAATTCACCTCATTTTCATGGTTTACCACATTATTTACAACCTTCAATACTTTATACCTTGTAACATTCTGCTATCTATATGCTACATAATTTACCAGATAGCTCCCAAATTTAAAAATGTGTGGAATAAGTTATATCCATTTGGGCCATCAAGCCCATAATCCCCCATGGCCACATAAAACCTAATGCATCAGGGATCACACCTTCACTCATTCTACCTCCAGGAAAAGCTCCACATGGACTTTCTATGCCTTAAAATTAATAAGGTGAAAACATCACAATATTCTTCCATCCCACATTTCTACTGGTGAAACCTGGCCTCTATCCCTCCACAGATACCATTCTGCCCTCACCCGTGTTCCTCCTAGCCCCAACAACATAAAAATCATTGTATCCTGTACTGTACATTGTTTGTTATTCTCGATCTTTTCCTTTTTTTATATTCATTCCACACTGTTTTCTTTCCTCCTTAGTCTCAGACATCACAATTTTTTNCCTGCCCACTGGCACCATTCCCACTCCTCTAAAAACAGCTGTCATCACTCCTATCCTTAAAAACCCCTCCCTGGACCCATCCCTGCTCTCAAACTACCACCCATCTCCAACCTCCCTTTCCTTTCCAAGGTCCTGGAATGAGTCGTTCCTTCCCAGTTTTGCTCCTTCCTCTCCTGCCACTCCCTTCATAAGCCCCTCCAATCGGGTTTCCGTGCCGCACAGCTGTTGTCAAACTCACAAATGGCATTTTCTCCATCTGCGACCTCTGTCTCCTTTTCCTCCTTGACCTCTCTGCTGCCTCCAATACCGTTGACCACTCTATCCTCCTCCATCGCATCTCCTCTCACCTCACCTTCATGGTTCTGTCCTTGAATGGTTCAGATCCTACCTCTCACACCATCTCCACTTCATCTCCACAAACAGTTTCCCTTCTAGCTCCCACACCATCTCATGCGGAGTACCTCAGGGCTCTGTCCTTAGTTCCCTCCTTTTCAATATCTATATTCTCCCTCTTGGTGACATCATCCGCAGACATGGGATCAATTTCCATATATTTATGGATGACACCCAACTCTATCCCCTTGCCTCCACCCTCGACTCCGGGATCACTGCTGTTCTGACAGAATGTCTGTCAGACATCAAGTCCTGGATGAGAGCTAACTTTCTTCAGTTGAACATCAACAAGACCGAGGCCCTCCTGATTGGCTCCTGTCAACACCTCCACACCTCAGGCACTGACAGCATCACCATCCATGGATGCACACTTCACTGAGCCAGTCCGGAACCTTGACGTC